TTTATTAAACATATTAACTTATTGATTGAATTGAGTTGAAATAACTGATGCTTCATTAAATATACAACATACACATTATGCATATAGGATTGAAAATCAATTTAAGTAACATAAAAGTATAATTTGTTCCTGACAGATATCAACCAATACTTTGTACTATAGATAAAGTAGAGAGAAAATCAGGCAGTCCGTGTCTGTCGTCTTGGAATTAAGCACGCCCACGGCAGTCCTTGAAGATATTACGCCGTATAAAGAATCAAATCATAGAAAAAGCGGCTTGCATTACAAATCAGGGGGCAAGAGGTGCAGCGCCGGCTCTCCCCATGCAGTGAGGGTGGCTACGAGAGGAGCGGGCTGAAGTGGAATGCTTTCCGCGGAATAAAGAAAAGAGAGAAAGAGCGGAGAGCCATCTCTGCAAACAGCGCGCCAGACAAGTGGGGCGTGCAAAGAATAATCCAGCCTGTCTAAACCTAATTATCCGTGCACTGTCTTCCTTCCTTAATGTCCGTTGGGAGCCGTCTCCGAAAGTGCGCTGTAGCCCTTGTGTCAGTCAGTCACTTGCCGCGCGTGCGAAATAAAAATTATTCCAACACGCAGCACGTACACCGTGTTCTTTTAAAAAGCCAGGCAAAGTCCGACGAAAAGAATCTCTCTTGGAAGAGATAAAAACGCACGAGATTTGCCATAGTTTTTGTTATTTATCATTGCGAACGCGTCGGAGCGACAGTTCTGAAGCGTCCGCGGGGATCAAAAGGGCTGCGGGTGTCCAAGGGGCTTAGACGCGATTAGCCCCGTGGTGCTCAATAGGACGCGCCTAATCTGCGGCAATCAGCCTGAATATAAATTGCGCTCCTTTGAAGTCATTGGCCGTACCGCAATGAGGAGGCTTAAACTTCGCCAAGCGTGCGCCGCCAGAGCCGGACGCTCTATCCGAATCGGCACCACTCTACTTACGTCGGTCCTTGCTCGAATTTGCGCCGTTCTTTGGTTCGCGCACGGCGACAGTTAATGATGCGGAAACGCATTGCAGCGCAGATTGTTTCCTTCCGGCAATTCGTCGTCTTTAATTCAGCCGATCGAACCCTGATTCAATCAAATGGCGATCTGATTGGGGAAATTTTGATTCAAATAGTATGTGAGAGGAAATTTTGAAAATTACTCATGCGCTTAAATTACTATTGAAAATGGAGGAATGAGATAATAACTTTCAAGTAAGTGCAGGCCACTTATGTCGGGCATACTTTATTTGCGTTTGCTGTAGCTCCAAAAAGATGCTTCTTTGGCCTTGATTTAAAACAAAATTTCAAATAAAATATTCCATTAAAAAATTGAGAAGGCTGAAATATTAATAAAAACAGGAAAATAAACAATATAATCAAATAAATTTTGACATATTCCCACTAAATTAATTATTATGCATTTGTTTTCATCAGTTTTCAAAATTATTGACCAATGCACTGAATAATAGACTCAATTTCAGCTTCTTCTGTACCTTTCATGTATAGTTTTTCACTGTGTATTCATGACTGTATACCTAATGGAGAATAAATAAATTAAATTAGTAATTATTGATTTAAAATGAACAATAATCTTGGGATTTTCTTTATTTGTGGTGCAAAGCTGCATATATTCCAATATAGTTTAGAGTTTTATTGACAGATACCACTGTGGTGCGTATTCGCGATAATCACTGATCCATTGAAGATAGAGAGGATTTTTGGTGAAAGGGGATCTGATTGCCGGAACTGGGCCTTGAGATGTGTGTGGTTGTGCTGCTGCTGCTGCTGCGAAACCAGATTGAGGGTTACGTACTCGATTTTGTCAGACATATTGCATAATTTGAAATATTATTTTTATACAATTCTTAATTTTTAATACCAATCTTTTTAAAATGGCAAAAATTTACTGAAACGTGTACACCCTACGTCATATTTTTTTTTAGATGAACTGCCGTTTTAAAATATATCAGAAGAAATAATTAATTTCCTAAACCCTCAAATCCATTCTATTTTCGCCTACACATTTCTCATCAATCTCATCACTATCTACTATTGCTCTTCAGACTCGCTTGGAGTAAAATCCGCAGCGGAGAGAGCAGAGCAGACCTGTATAGGAGAGTGTGTGAATGAGAAATAATAAATAGCGGCCTCCGACCCTTGGCCATGCCCGTGTCGTTTATTGATCGTGTCCTCGGATTCGAAGAAAGGCGGCGGTGGCAAGTTGTTTGGTGCCTTGCACAAATGCACACCTTTTGTGAAGCATACGTCTGTGCATTATTCGCCGAATGCCGTTGAAAGGTGCAACAATGGAGTGTGCAGCGTACATTTGCGTTGTAACTTGCCAAACACTGCAGCTGAAAGCAAACAGACCCATGGCGATCTAAAAAGCTCTGTTGCAGACTAAGCAAGGGGGATTCATTACATAATATAATTTCCTCAATCCAAGAAATTGGATTGTGACATCGCAGATTTGCTTGCAAGTAGATAGGTTTTGGACTGGAATGGAATGAAATTGACAAGGAGTGGTAGGGAAATTAAATTGACATAAAAGCCTGAAAATTACATAAAATTACAGAATTTTGATTCATTGTTTATATTTTTTTTTTGCAAGCACAGTATGAAAATATCAGAGGTAAAATTTTAAATCAATAATGAAGGTAAATGGAGAAAAAATCCAATGTCTTAATGTCTATGTGGGTATGGTAATAAAACAAAATACTTGATGTCTCCGTGATAGCGGTAAAATTACGTTCATTGATTCCCCGGAAAATTAACGCGCGTAAGATACTTGCTTGTGACGTGGCTTGAATATCTCTCCGTAAAATGTATTTTCATAATTAATTATTTGAAACCCATTAATCAACCTGCGAACCCGCGCTAAAATGACGAACTGATAAAAAAAACTTTGAACTTATCTGAATACGTACGTGAAACTGGGGGTTGGCTAATTTAATTAATTAATTATTTAACTCGTAAATGAATCTCCTTAATTTTTTATTTATAAGTGGTCAAATAATATACCACGGCCCCAGATTCAGACGCGCTCGCCCATCCTCTTTCAATACTATTGAGACGTGACAAGGAGATTTGCTTATTTATGAAGTGGCGGTAAGTCAATGCACACAAAACGCGACGCGTAGCGTGGGTGCGTTTTGCCAGATGTGTAAGGAAAGGAAGCGGCTTCTCCTGCTTTTGTCGTCAAGCGCTCCGGCTACAAAAAAGCGCGCTTTTGAGGAAGCATCGCTCTCACGGAAAAATGAGATTGAAAATAATGCTAAGAAATATTTAATTTAAACGTCTCAATCATATTGTCAGATTACGAACTTTCAGAATGATCGATCGGTCCGTTTTAATTGTGATATTTATTATTTGTGATATAATATGTAATTAAGTTTTATAACGGTCTTATTAATTTTATGTTTAATATTATTGTATTTCAATTTCTTAATATCTAAAGGATTTGTTTGTCAATATACATATTATTCTTACAGTGAAATTAGTTGGTTTTATTCTGTTGATTGCAAGCTAGGTTGATACAAATGAAAATGATCAAGAATTAGTATATGTTTGGTTTGATAACTATTAAATTTGCCAGAAAATTATTTCAAATGGTTCAATACATATGATTGCACAATAATTAAATTAATTATGTATGTATCGTTTCCACTGTAAATTTTCATCTTTTGATTATAAATAATTATGAATAAAGATTAAACATACAAAATGAAATGGATTGAGAGATGGATAATTTTGCGAGAATTAATTCCTGTCTAGCTTATATAAACATTTAATTATGACCAGGCCAGAGTATCTAAAAGAGCCTTGTCCTTATACTATTAATTTCTTTTTGAGAGATGAACTTATTAGTTTGATTTGGAGAGAGAGAGAGAGAGAGAGATAACGTAGTAAATAAAAATGCAAGACAATATGTTAGAGAACACACTATGGGCAAACAATTAGCGCAAAATTTATGCAAACCTTTTCTCTGAAATGAGTGCGGCGGCAGGATGAATACGCCTGGGGTTGACACAATTTTATATTAAATAAGGTAAATTACAACTTATTGAATGCGGCTTATTGTAGTTGGAGTTCTGCGTTTGACGGCCGGTGAACGAGGTCTGATCTAACGAGGTCTGATCTTTATTTTTCTGTACCAAAATTCCAGGAGAAAAACTCCTCCTAACTTTAAAATAAAGCCAATAAGGGTGAACTAAAATCTAGAAATGTGTCACGTGACATCTGTGACACAAAGTAAACCGGTAGAGGGCACCCGGGTGCACGGGCTTCAGCGGCGATATTCTCTCTTCTTTCTTGCTTTGAGCCGAGAGCGCGCGTCTGAATATTATTTTAGATGCGAAACGGAATAATACAGTATATAAAACTATCTCGCAATTTATAATTTTAAATCTCTCAATTTAGCATGCCAAAATTATATAATATAAAATGAAGTATCATTCTTAAGATATAAAATAATTCTTCTAATTAAATCGACCGATAAAAAAATCTAACTATTAAAAATATGAAAACTAGCCCCCCATAATATTCACACTTCATGTACTTTGCCTGGATTAAAATTAATATATTTGAGCTCTATAACAATATTTCGCCTTGAAATTGCTTTTAATTATAGAAAATGTGAAAATTGACTCATGATTTCAATTAGATATTAACAATTAAAAGTAAATATTAAAAATATTTAAATTCTTGATGCCTCAATGATAGAGGTAGGTAAATTTACGTTTCTTAATTCCTCAGCAAATTAACGCGCGTTAAGATATTGGCTTGTGACATCGCTTGAATATCTCTTCTCGAGATTTATTTGCATAATTAAATTATTTGAAACCCATAAATCTACCCACGCTCAAAGACTGATTATGGTAAATTTTATACTTCCAAGATGATACGCCTCTTTTTTTATCTCAACTTCACATGAGTGTATATTATAACATTTATAATCAACGGTATATTTAATATTAGTCTGATGACAAATAAAAACGTTACTAAACCAAATCAAAAAAATATTTATTACTTGGGAAAAAATATACAAAATTATCAAGAAAATACTATTGATAAAACATTTTAAATATAAGAAAAAATTTATCAATACAAAACATTTTTCAACGCATTCAAATATCTAACTACATTAATAAAACATAATATCAATTCCTATTTTTTTTTTTTGCCTGATTTTTCTTTTTGTGATTTGAATTTTTCTTGGGCTCTGGTTCTTTCTTAGCCCTTATTTTGTTCAATTCCGGACCATATTTATCAAAGCACTCTTGTTCTAAATCTTGCATTCCAGAAACTGGTTGGTCAGATTTCAGCTGTTTTATTATTCGCGTTCTGTAGATATCATCGAATTTGTTTATTTGATGGGTTTTAGCGTGCTCTGACAATGTTTTGTTATTTTGTTTCCTAACGTCGCGCCTGTGATTGGTCACTCGCTTCCGAAAAGAGGTTATACACTTTCCTTCGTAGCGTTTACCACACACTTTGCATTCTACCTCATAAATGCAATGTGTAGACTCGCAATTGTAACGCCCATGAATGTAATCAGGTTTGTCTCTGCCTGGAACCATCACAGTTTTAGTTGGCTCTTGGGCATGGCATGCCTTGCATGGTCTACCTTTTCTTTTCTTCGAACCTTTCAAATCTTCTTTGCATGGGTACGACCCGAATTTTTCAATTTGTTTGTCCTCGTCGTTGCCGCTGTCATCTTCTATCTTCACTATTTTATCTTGTCTACCTGATCCAGTGAATCCCCCGTGAAAACCTCTTCTCAAATACTCGCCATGTGCTCCACTTTCCACAAAATTGCGTAGTGATGGTACACCTTCAATTTTCTTTGCGATATTCTCTCTAAATTCCTCTGGTGATCCCAAATCAAAATAAGCGGAGAGAGCAGTATAAACGCAGTCGTTTTGTCCTAACCCTGTGACCCCTTTGATTTCTATGCCACTCGAATTGCAAAAATGCTTGCAAGTAATTAAATCCAATTCAACCGTTACCGCAGTTCCATCCTTACTCGATTCAATAGAATATGTGCAATTTTTATCGTCACGTACAATGAGATTTAGCTTGCATTGTTTTTCTTCAATGAGGTATTGGACGGCCAATATACCTGTCATTTCGAATTGGGAACCAGCTCTATAGATATCCGCAATTTCCTTAGGATCTCTAGACTTCGCCATTGCCTCCATTTGTAGTTGGTCATTATGTTTTTGTAAACTGGTGCTTATTTCTTCTGAGATTACAAAAAATTTCTCATTGTGCCTATTTCGATGAGTAACCAAATCTTCCACCGAACTTTCATTTTCTTTTGACCCCGAGCGCCAACTAGAGCAAGTTTTTACTGCTTGCTTAGCAAAATTTACCGCTAATGCGCGAATTTTTTTCAAGATGGGACAAACGACAGCAAAGTGTAGGTAATCTCCTACGTGTTTATTCAAACTCCTCTGCCACATTTCTGTCACATCGTGTTTAAATTTTTCAAAAGAAATACCTTCTTCGATGACAGATGTGCATTTTTCCGGGTCTACCATGTTTATTTTCTCTCTTAACTGTAGCTCCATATCATCCAAAAGTTTCCCAGTTACATGACGCAGCTCCAAGATTTTGCATGTTTTTTTTATATATGAAAGTCCTCTCATAACCGTTTTGAGCCACTTTGAGCCTGCTTGAACTTTTCTTGATTCCTTCTTGAACTCATCTATTTTTTCAACGAAGATATTGGTGATACTTTTAATATGTTGGTAAAATGAGTTTTCAACATTTTTTGCTGAAAAGAAATCTTGCTCCAATTCTGACAGTATTCTTTTAGCCCTTGATGCACCCAATACTCTATAAGCTTTTTCTAACAATAGGCTTATGTTATGTTTTTCTACGGATTGATTTACGTCTTGCAACAATTTTTCTGCAAGGCTTTCGCAATATTGCCTTGCGAAGTTATTCAATAGGGAATCTTCCATCGAATTAAAGAGTTCATATGCCATACTATTGACTGTCATTCTTGCAACATTATGAGAACATTCTTTTAAATAAGCAATTGATGTAATAGATTTAATTGATTCAAAAAATGCCGAACCTGATGACTTGACTGCACTTTCACCAACACTGGCAGTGGATATATATTTTGAACCAATTCTTAAAACTGAAGCGCCTTTCGTTAAAAGACCGGAAGCTGCAAATGTTATGCAGGTAGAGGTCAGGTTAACGATTTTTTGTTTGCGATAGTGAGCCCAGCTGAAATAGCCAGAGTAAAGGGCACTTTTAGCAAACATAAGGTCATTAAATCCTTCTTTTATGAAACCATTCCCTACCAATGCCAGGAATCCCATTGAAAAATAGTTAAGAGTCACTCCAAACATCAATTGTACCATTCCCAGAACGATTACACATATGGTGTTGCTAATCATTTCCCTCGTATATTTTTCCTCGCGAAAAGTGAGGACCTCGTCCAGACCATTCAGAATGAAACTGTTAAGTAGAGATAGAAGTTCGTTATTGGGCTTCTGAAAATTTTCAAGGATATTTTGCAATCGTGCCTCTGGAGCCTTAAGGCTTTCCAAGACCGATCTTGATTGTTGTAATAGGTGCAAAATGTACTTGGCCATCTTTTTATCATGTAGTTCTACCGGCAAGTATCTATAGAAGCCGTCAACCTCACCATTATCAAGTTGCAAATCTCCATTATAGGTGACTCTAGATTGCGAAATGATTTCTTCTTCGGCTAAAGATACCAAAAGCGCAGTGTTGACGTTGCTTATCAGTGTAAAATCAAGATTTTTTATGCTTGGATCTGCGATTAACTTGTTTGCAGCTATTTGATAGCAAAATCTTAAAGATAGCAAGCTTCTCAAGGCATACTTGTAAACTGGAAATTCTTTTAAATCTAACCTTGAAATATCTTTTGCATGGTCTTTTAAAACATAGCTGCCATGCAGATATTGAATGTATGCCTGGTCTTCTATATCTTTTAATATTCTCTCAGCTTCGAACGGTGCAATATTTATGGCGGTTAAATCGTCAATAGTTATGCTAGAATATTCAGGGAGTCTTGTATGTTTGAGCAGCTCTCTATTAAGAATAGCTTTTTTATTTTTCTTCAGGATGTTATACGCAACATACCTCTCCATATCTGCAGAAGTGAATATGTCTTTGCATTCTTTCACAGTTAAATACAATCCCTCTTTTGAAAGTGAAAACATAGAAAGTGAGTTCATATCTTCTTTTGTGAAAACGTCAGAGGAAATGTATTTTTTCAGTAGTATGTTTAACGCGATTTTATCATACTTTTTTAGCTCTTCAGCATTTATTTCATAAAATGACACTTCTTCTTGCAAAATTGACAGATATTTGAGCATTTTCCAGAATTTTTCTCGACTAGGGAATTGCAACTTATTAACTTCTTTTGACAACCTCCTCTCATCTAAGAAGGATCCATGTTCAAGTAAAACATATTTTAGTTCTTCATAATTCATCGCATACGCTTTTGCTATTTTCCTCAATGCTTCATTTTCTTCTTTCAAAAATTGTAGAGATGGCTTTGAAATGATATTATCTGCAGTCAATTTTTGGTAGAGCTTTTCACACAACTTGTCACTCACAACATCTGATACAAAAATTGACGCATCAATTGCATGGCCTAGCACATCATCAATCGAGTTTATATATACTTCGTAAATGTCTCTGACGTATTTTTGTTGAACATTAAATGAATCAACTTGAACGAACTTAGAATTATTTTTCTTCTTAAGGTTGTTCACTGCTGCTGCATACATATAGCTCATGTTGCTGTGTGCAATAAACAGATTCTTCGATTCTGAAAGCAATTGCAGGAACTCGTTCGTGTTTTTCCATTTTTTATTGTCTCCAATTATAACTGCTTTGTAGTACTTCGCAAATTCAGAAAAATTCGGCTCCTTTTCAATTACTTCGTCAAGCATGGTTTTGGCTTCTTGAATCTTTTTTATTCGAACAAATTGTTTTGCAAGTTTGATCAAAGCAGATGGGTTATTTTTAACCATGTCTATGTGAGTTTTTCGACTTTTCAGTTCTTCGATAAATTGCTTTGCTTGCAAGCACATATCATCATAATCGCGTTTGGTTTTAATTTTACCAATTTGTTCTGTTTTAGAGTCAAGCCAATAAGCCCATTCATCTAGAAATGATTGCAGCACAATTTCATTTACCGCTTTTGTATTCCGTGCTCGCAATTTTTGATCCACAATGTCCATCAATGTTGGTTTGTTTAAAGATTTGATGGAAATTATCTTCGAAAATCCATCAAGCCACGAGAGTTTAAATTCAAGATTGTCTTTTATTCCCAAGTAGAAGTTTTGAAAGAGTTGAAAACATTTTTCTTGGACCAATATTGACATTTCATAATGTTTTTTTATATCTGAGATTCTTTCAAGTTCTTTCTCATCTCTCTCTCTCTTCAGAAGGATCACATTTTTGCAATGAGTGTCTTCATTGTAGAAAATTATTCTTGCTGAGCCTGGTTCACCACATCTGGCGGATCTCCCGAATGCCTGTTGCTCTATTCTGCTGTTACCGGGTAGGAAAGTCAAGATGACGTGTAGTCCTCCATTTTCCACTAGATCTTTGGCAATTTTTATGTCTGTACCTCGACCTGCCAAGTTAGTTGAAATAAGTAGGTGTCCAGTTTGTAGAGCTTTGCCACTTGAAAAATCAAAGTCCTCATAATCTCTGGTGTATGTTAACAGCTTTAATTTTTCGTTTCGGAAACATTTTCGAAGCATTTCAACGTTTTGTACTGACTCACAAATCATCAATACAGATCGTTTTTCACCTGAACTCTCAACCACCCTTGACACTTCTTTCTTTATTTCTTCAATCCATGTCTCGCGGTCACTACATGTGATTGGTGAATATTCTATGAATTTCTTAGGTTTTGTTGTTGGCATTGTAACAAAATCAACTTTGTGAATTTCTTCCAGAAGATTTCTTTCCCTCTTCGATCCCAATGTGCCAGTGAGCCCATAAAGCTTATTGTACTTCTTGAAGTACGAAATATTTGATACAAAAACTGCTTTCAAACTTTGTGCTGACAATTTACACCCATGTTTAAGTTGAAGAAATTGGTGCAGAGCCTCATCATATTGAGAATTCACTTCATCGGTTCCAGTGTCTCTATCGATGATGATTATATTAGGGCTTAGGTCAAAGTTATTCTCGGTTCTGTTCACGTCTACTATGTAGTTCTCTTTTTCTTTCATGAAAAACGCGTTTTGTGCACTTACAATCCAAGAATCTAAGTGTTGCACGACAAATTTTTTCAAATAGTTAGGAATATAAATGCTCTTTTCTCGTTTTTCAATTTCTGAAAAAGCAAATTGAAGCCTCTCAACTAATTGCGGATATTTTTCTCTGAACAGGGTATCTAAAAGCTCGTACCTCATAATTTTTATGGTTCCATCCATGTTGATAAACTCATTCTCCGTAAGTATTTTCCAGATCTCACATAAATCACCATCTCTAAGATTCGTGTCTAATTCCAATATATCCCTCTTGTTAATGAAGCCAAAAAGGTCATGTAGAACCTTCTCTTTGAGCACGGTCTCATCAAAGATGTATTTCAACAATTCGACGCTTGAAGCTGGTTGATTTAGCCACTTCCAAATGAAAATGTACACGGATGTCAGCTTGTCCAGCCATGGTAACTCATGAGTCAAATATAGCATGTTGTTTCCTTTGTCCAGAAGCATACTGTCAACTTCATCCACGACAATATTTGCAAAATTCCTGTCCCCGAGGATGTTTTTTCCATAAAATCTATCCAAAAGAAAATCCCTTTGGAAACCGGTAATATCCCCGTATATTACTTTATTGCTAGAGTATGCCTTTATTCTTCTTTCAATTTGATCGTCACAATTGTGATATACAGAGACTTCGAAGCAATCGTAAATATCTTTATTTGCTAGCGCATCTCTTTTAGCCAAAACCGAAGAACTTGTAATGACGTCAACCATTTCGCCTCTGAATGCCTTAATTATGGAAACTGCGACCACAATTAAAGATTTTCCTTCCCCTGTCGATACTTGTAGTAGATTGCTACTCTCATTGCATAAAAGCATCATAACAGAGAGTTTTTGTGTGTCTCTAAGCCGGAAGTTTCTCTTCAAAAATATGCATTGGTCAATGAGGGACAAAACTTCCAGAGTTGACGCTATTCCGTCAGATATCTGACTAGGAATTTTCAAGTCCTGGGTACTCTCTCTTTTCTGTACTTTTTCGCATTTGCTTTTGTAGCCATCGCTTATAATGTGTGCATGTAAATTTGTAAGTAAATCTTTTAAAGCATTAGAGCTGTTTGCGCTATTCTCAATTATTTTTATTAACGTCAACATATCTCGGTCAATGTGACCGCTACATTCAACACTTCCTGACAGTGATCTTTCCCAGTTAATCAAATCATCTTTAGATTGTACTTGCTCACATTGTTTTACATTCTCATTGTCAAGCCTCCACACCTCGGACACAAACAATGACAAATATTGAAGAATTTTTGCACTGTCAACAAATTCGCCTTTTTCCGAAAGAACCGTCAGAAATGAATCCAATAATTTTTTCCCGTTGTAATTCTCTAGCTTCTGTACATAATAAGTGGCTGTGTTCAAATTGTCTTCGGTATCATGTTGGAAGAAATTGAACAATCTACCATGCCAGTAGGCTCTTTCTAGAACATATAACCAATTTCCAATATCATTCACATACAATTGATGTGGAATTATTTTAACTTCCTTCAACAATTGAAAAATTTTAAATATTGTTTTCACAGGAGCAGCTGCATCTTCTGGTGTGTTTCTCAGTTGGATGTTAAAAAGGAGTAGCAATTCCCTTTTTTGGATTGCAATCAAATTTTTTCTCAAAATATTAAAAAGCGTAAATTTCATCTTGTAATAGTTTTGTATATGGAGCAACGTCAGTTCCGCCATCCAGTTTTTCTGTGGTTCGGATGCGACAATCCGTTGTATCAGAGGTATTTCTTGTGTGTTTTTCAGATACGACTGCAAAACTTCGTTGATGAGAAACATAATTTCTTGGTCACTTACGCAACAACATTCATAGCTAAATCTTCTGGCCAACAAATGAAGGATAATATTAGGACAGATTATTTGACTTTTAATGCTGCGAAGACCTGATTCAAGTTTTATCGCCGGGTCTTTTGACTCTACGCAGCTCAAAATGAACATTATGTCATTTTCTTCGCAGGGACAGTTCAAAGATATGCTGCTATGATTTATTTTCGGTTCTCCACAGGTGATTTCATTGAAGTATGAATCAATGTCAGTCTTGCTATATTTTTGGCTCAACTCCCAAAGTACTTTGTTAAATAAAGTACCTTGAGCATGCCGTTGTGTTTCGAGCTCCAAAAATTCATAATTTATTGTTATGATTTCGAATTTATCGCTATGATTTCGTAAAATTGATATTTCTCTTGTTTCAAGCAAGTTGAAAGAATTCATCCATACTATATTACTCTCTTCATTTAAAGAATACACAGCAAGGCGGACGCTAAAAATGTCAGCTAGAAGTTGTAAATATCCGTTAAAGTCAAGGCCATGAGACTGAATATATGAATAAAACAAATCCATGAAATCATTATCGTTTGTACAGTTTTCCCAATTAAACTGTGCGTCCACTTCAGAGTGAATTTTCTCGTATGCGACCTCTACTTGTTGTCTCTCTGTCAAATCAAAGTGCGCACCATGACTAAATTTTTTCAGCTCTTCGTCAAATATATTTCTTTCTTCGTTTCCATCCTCATACTTTTGCCAAAGTTCCATCAGTTCTGGATACATTTCAATTTGCGTTTTAAAATTTTCTATTTGCATGTCAACTTTCATATGCTTCTGCACTTCAAAAATTTGTAACGCATTGATATGTTTTTCAAATGAATCTTTGTACTTTCCCTCCAAGATTGAAGTATCGCAGCTGTTCAGGAATATTTCCATAGCTGGCTGAACTAGTTTTGAGCTAGCGTTCGATTTAAGAATTTCTTTGCAATATTCAATAATTTGTTTGCGGCTGATTTGCGTATCATCATTTATGTAGTCATCGATCAGGTTCAAATTTTCGTCAGATATTTCAGATTTGTTTACAGTTTTCTCAAAATATCTCTCGATGGGCAACAATGAATGATATTTTTGTTTCTCCAATTTTGAATTTATATTATCTGCGATATTTATCAAAATCATCTGGCGGTAATTCGATAATGCAATATGTTCTATACGCAACTTTTTCTCTTCAGAAAAGATTTTTGAAGCCTTGAAGGATTTGTCTGAAACAAAATTTATTAACTCACATATGTCCTCTGGTTCAAAATGTAAGAGATGTATTTGAGGAAGTAGCTCTGTTTTAAAATTTCCTTGAGGATCAAATAACTTGACGTTAATTTTTTTTTCGATCCTACGATCGAAGACAATTTTTTTTACTTTCACCACTTCTTCAAATGTTGCATCCCTTTGAACCTGAATATTCAGCTTATCTTCGTGAGTGGTCTCATCTTGTTCTTCTTGAAGTGTCTCGATGTTCTGCTGCAAATTTTCAATTTGCGCACTGAATTGCACGCCATCTAAGCATTGCCTACTAGATTCCATATAAGCTTGATATGTACTTTGTATATCAATCTTAGAAACCATTTTTTGGTTGACAGCACTTGCTTGAGCCTCTCTATTGATTCGTTGCTGGCATTGCTTTTGTCTTTGCTGCTTTGAGGTACTGCTTGTAATTAATTTGTCAGAATTTTCGATCTTGATGTAACTTTTGTGTCGGTTGCACCATGTTCTGTCGCTAGCACTCCCACTGTAATGCCTAATTGTTAATTTGCTATCCATATCTATGCCACTATACACTGGTACTCTCCAGTTGCAATGATCTGAATAGCCAATGTCCCATGCAGCTTTTCCGGGCTTCCCCATAAAGCCACTTTCACCCAATTCTCCATTTTCTCCTTTATTACTCTTCACCACTACATCTTCATGGAAAACAAAGATTTCACCACCATAGCCGCCCTCACCGCCTAGACCGTTTTCACCTCCATCTAGCCCTGGCTTTCCAAAAGATCCTTTGCACAAAAATACTGCAGACATTGAACCGTAAATCCAGTTATCATGGTTGTACGTTATTTCCATGCCGTTTGAAGTCATCCTACGCAGATAGTAAGAAGAGTCCATGTTGGGAAAATCCTCGAGTGTAGTAACTGTATAATCTTTAATTCTATTAATATATTTCTCGACCTCTGAGCAACCCATCTTCCAAAACTTCACGGGGCTTTTGAATTTTGTCTTCAAAAAAACATCATCCATTCCATCACCACTTTGGCCGTCATTTCCATCTCCTCCGTCTTGTCCTCTTCCTCCTTTGCCCCCATTAGAGATCAATCTCAAATTGAATGCGTTAACGACTTCATCTGCTATCAATAATATATTTCCTCCACTCTGTCCAGCGTAACCATCAGCACCGTTGCGACCTGTTCCATCGCTTAGGTTTCCGGCGTTCGAAGAATATATTTTATTGCTATCCAGTCCCGAGACGTCAATTTTTACTTTTTCGTTAGATACGACGAGGCGCCGACACCAGATAACAAAATTTTGTCCATGGAAGACGTCGCACTCAATGTCAGCGTCTAAATAGAGTGTATCGCCCACAATGAGCCTGATTTCATTGATTTTATTATTCGCCTTACAATGGTCCACCAGCAGCGACTTAATAAAACTTAATTCCAGAACCATGCACTTTCCTTCAAGGAAATAATGCCCATCGTTGAGGATGGTCCTCAACTTAGCCGGCTTAATGTACTGCACGATGAAGTTCTTCAACTTGTCTATCTGAGAAAACTGGCTTGCTTCGCATAGACCTTTTATTCTCATAGCTGCTAGGCAGCCAAGTTCCCCTTGCAGACTGTCAGATTCGATGAGCATGGCGCGAAACTCGTCGAATGAAATATTTCCAGTGCAAAATTCCATCAATTTCAATGATTCCACTAATTTTTTTACATTTTTGAATGATCTAATGTAGGCAACAAAAGACTGAATGAATTCAAGCTCTTTTTTTACTTTCTCGTTGAGCTTAAGAAGATTTCGCTTACATTCAGTTTTAAATTCACTAACGCATTCTCGTTCTTTGGTTCTAGGAATCAATGAACCAATGTTCTGCACAAGCGTAAAATATCTCGAAAATGAAAAAATTGAAGGAACATCTCCTGTTAGATTGTTGAAATTGTCAAGTGCATCCAAGTATTCTTGGAAGTTTTGACTTCCAATATTTTCACAAATTTTAAGAGAATCGGCAAGCCAAATTTGTAAGCAATATTTGACGTATTTTTTGCTGATAAAACTTACGTCTAGTTGACTGAGCTCGATATTGAAGCTCTGCACAATCAATGCTTGGACGCTCATGAGGTCTAACGCATTCTTCTCAATCAATTCTTTTATTTTTATCTTCACGGGTGATTTAATGTCTAAGTCTTCGGTGTTGTCTTGAAGCATAATTTTATGAATCTGAACCTTAGAGTCAAAGTGTTTGTCGGATTTGCAAATATTGCAATTTTCTGGTGATAAGCAGAAAACGTTTCTTAGGTTTCGAACACTTTCTTCCTTTTTACAGTGAAGAGATCGTAAATTTGACGTTTTGATGGCTTCCAATCTCTGCTCCTGAAAAATTAACAAGAAGTTTATAACATGGTGATTTTAATTTAAAATCGGCTTTTCCTCGATGGGTTTTTGTGAGTTGTTTATTGTTTCAGAAAAAACAATATAACAAATAAACAAACTGCTCTACATGTTTCGGCTGCGGGCTGCAGCCATAATTCATGAGCTGCGAAAACATTTTGACAAATATTAGTACAAATACAAAGACTGTCCAACCAGCAATTTTCCCTCCCTTTGCAAGCAGCATTTGTGGCAGCAATTTTAAAGTGTCGTGATTGTTCTTTTTATTTTTAAATAGTGTGGGTTCACGCGGTGGTCGATCTCTTTTTGATGTCGGGCGTTTTAGCAGACCTCTGCTAGTTGTGATACCCTTTCTGCTCATTTTTTCCAAATAAATTTTTTTCATGTATGACTTGAGTAGAATAAACAACAACACAACACAAATATAAATTAAATCTTTTTTCAAAAATTATTTTTCTTTCAAATTGACAATTTTCCGTGAAAAATTATTTAAATTAACATTTCTTCATAAAATAATTTTTACACAAAATTTGACATTTAATTCAAAATATTTTATAAAAGACATAATTTTTTCTTATAGTAATTTTGGTCAGAATATTTAAACGTGTGTTTTGAGGTGGTCGAGAGCAGACTAAATTATTTTTCGGTTGGTTTTTCGGGTTAAAGATATGTTTTGGGATTGCGTAGTATTCACTCGTCGCTACTGCTGTCTGCAAATAATTTAGTCTTCTCTCGACCAACCGCCGAGAAAGGTACGCTCAAAACACACGTTTAAATATTCTGACAAAAATTACTATAAGAAAAATTTATGTTTTTTAAAAAATATTTTTGAATTAAATGTCAAATTTTGTGTTAAAAATTGTTTTGTGAACAAATGTTCCTTTCAATAATTTTTCACGGAAAATTGTCAATTTGAAAGAAAAATAATTTTTGAAAAAAGATTTATTTTTGTACTATTTTTTTTTTTAAAATGTTTTCGCAGTTCATGAATTATGGCTGCAGCCCGCAGCCGAAACATGTAGAGCAGGATATTGTTTTTTCTGAAACAATAAACAACTCACAAAAACCCATAGAGGAAAAGCCGATTTTAAATTCAAATCACCATGAATCAACCCTCGATCGTGAAATTCTACCACAAAAAAAGTTTATAACAATTAATTAGTGATATATTAGAACCATACCATTTCAATAACATAGTTTTCCCAAATATCGTGGTTGAAAGCTCTTAATATAAGCTCGTCAGCGTTGATGTCAAGCAGTTGATTCCTACAATAATAATATTTAAAGGATTTTCTCGACACACGCACGCACGCACACATAATATGCTTGGTGCGAACGCATTCAGTCTAGAAGCGAGTAGACACTTTTCAGTGCGTTTTGTCCAAGAGCTTAGGCCAAACACATATTTTTTTTTCAGATCTACCAACTCTCGTGCATTGCTTATTCAAATAAGACACAATTAAAAAGATTTCAAATGATTTTGTGAGAAAAATTAAAAATTAGAATAGCGAATCGCAAACAAATTTAGAATAATTAAAATTATGCATTTTTTTGCGCATGCATCATTACCACATTTTTTTCTTATAAAACTCCATTTAATATATTTGGACAAATAAAATTTTACGAAAATTATTGAATTAATTCGTTGAAGTTAAATCAAATACTATTTTAAGATTAAATATTTCTACACCGAGCTGGAAAGTAATTTTTGAATAATTGTTTTGAATGCCCAATGATACAAACATATCTTTGTTTTTATCATTTCAAGAAGCTATTTAAATATTTAAATTATAACTTATATTATAAAAAAATTAAAGGTACTTTCAATTCTCAATAAAGTTTAAATATCAATTTTTATTTCATTTTATGCTAATATTTAAAAATTTTCACCCTGTATATTAATTATCCGTGTTTCTTAAAATATCTTTGGCTGATATAAAAGCAAAATAAAGTTGGAAGCGCTTAAAATAATTATGCGTTTGGCCTAAACTATTGGACCGAACGAGCTGTAAGGATGTAAATCGTGTCTGGTCTAGACCGAATGCGTTCGGACCAAGCGTTTTTGGACCGAATGCATTCAGACCAAGGCGCGCTTAGACCAAACGCATTCAGTCAACTCAGCGGCCTCAGCGCGTTGGGTCAAAAATAGATACACATATAAATCAATAATATGTTTATAAGATACATACCATCTTGATTTAATCAAAAACTTTTCAACGCATTTTCGGGCTGCAACAAATTTGTCATAGGAAGAACTAAAGTTTCCTTGATATTCAATAATATCGTGTAGATGATATATCTTCAGCTTTTCATAATCTGGAAATTATAAACATTTTATCATTTTTAACGTAAGGCGCCACTAAATATTATAATTGGCTGCATAATGTGCTAACCTTTGGTCGCATAATTAAAAAGTCTTTAATTGCAAATCTAACAAATTCGCGCTTAAATGTCGACCTCACCAGTTTTTGCCCGATGTAATAAGAATTTTCCTAAAATGATATTATGATATGTTATTGAGATATCACACCCCGATGTATTGATGAAAGTTGGCATGCAACTTGCGCCACCCTTGGTTTGTTCTGAAATAGCTATCAGAAGCTGCCCAATTTTGCGAGAGGTTCCATTTAAATATCGATTCAAAATAGGCGTCCACTGTGTACATATTTTGCTTGCTTACAATATTACACTAAGGCAATTCAAATTACATAGAGCTTAAAGCTTAAAGGCAAAAATTGAACAAGGAAAACTGGTTAAAAATGAATGGCCACTCTGGGGTACCAATTAGAAGACATAAAAGTTGTATATCAATTTTTATCTTCTTCGGGATCTGTCGGCTCAATAACATTAACACACCTTGTTAGGCTGAAATAAATTTTAACTTCAGTTCATGTTTTTCCAGATTATCCAGATAATCCAAATGACAAGTTGCCTTTTTGGAAAGTTAAAATGGAAGAAGGTAAAGGTTGATTTGGAAGAGATAAAAGTTGCTAGAACATACATAATAATAGTAAGTAGTCCTGAATTGACAAGAATCGTAGGTCGGTTTACCAATTAAGATTTTTCTTTGTGGTATTTTTTTTTTGTAATTTTTTTGCACAAAATTAATACGTGTTTATAAATATAAAAATTACACACCGCATCGTATCGTGGGCCACAAAAAGGGAATTCGCTTGAATTTGTGCTTATCTGGCCCTCTATAAAGAGGGAACTAAGGGAAGCTATATTTTGAAACTAAAACTTGTGTGCTTAAAAATAATTTAAAATTCCTGAAACATACATTTCCCTTAAAGATTTTCGTTATTTAGAAGAATGTTGCAAGATTTTATTTCAAAATTATTAGTCCTGGAACTTCAATTAAGTTCCGATCCACATATGTGATTCCACTAATAATGAACAAACCTTTTTTTGTTACCAGGAACTTCAATTCTTTAGTTCCTCGGGTGAAATCATTGATAACCGACGTATCATTTTTAGTCCCTCCGCTGGTGTTCGTAGGAATAGGCACTGATAATTCCTCCATGTTTTGCATCAACTGCAGTAAGTCGCTTTGATAGTTGCTACAGAAATCCATCCAATCCGTTCCCCTTGAGTATTTTTGGACCACCCCAATCAAAGAGACAGCTTCCTCGCCAGTTTCCTCCCATTTTCTGGATTGACGTCTAAATAGCTTGCTTTAAGCATTCAAAATAAATTCATCACCAAACATTTACCCAAGTGCATCGCCAATTATCATTTCCGCTGTAGTGTGAAACAACGCATTGCAAAAAGTTGTCTTATCAGAATATATCCTGTCCAAGCTCTCCTCTAAAGAATTCTTCCCAACGCCTAGTAGCTCTTCTGCTATTGTCCAGTTTCCAGATCTTATGTGCAAAATTGCTGCAGTGACGGTCCAAATAAAGTTCATATGATTCCCAAGGTTGAGCTCCAAAAACGCTTTGCGCACCTCAGAAATGAATTGTTTGTAAAATGAACTCGGGTGTTTCTAAAATTAGGGAATTAATATATTATACTATCGATTATTATCTTCTGCAAATTTACCATCTGGATAGGAATTTTTAAACTGTTGACTTCTGAAATTCTCATTTTGCTTGACAATTCTACGGAAGCACCATACATAAGTGCAGCTGGTAGTAGTAGCTCATGAGAATATTCAAAAATACTCGAATTCTGCATTTGTGAACAATTATTCAGCATTACTGAGATATTTTAAATCTGATGTACCTTAAATTGGAATTCAAATTCATCCCCATCGCAATTTCTTATAATTTTGAAATAGTATGGTACGTCTGAACCTTCAGAATTATCTGCTTTTTGATGAAATATGTGGAGGATTTCGAGTTTCGCGTCTAGTTTCGAATCTAGAAACATTCAGTTGGATTCTTTCTTAATATATACTTTTTCAACCTAGAAAAAAATGTATGCCAGTCTGAATTTTTCACCATTTATGGCAGCCACCATGAAACGGGACACCTCGGGACATCCAAAAGATATCATTGGGATGGCTAAAACGTCCCATTGATATCATCGGGTTGGTTCAGTTACTTCGGTCCTTTCAGCGTGAGATGCTTCAAGACACATTTTATTAGATTGCCTAAAAGGTTTTCCCAATCCGCTACCCTTTCTGGGTAAAAGGTACCTTTGAAAATTGTGCATTTTGTGCGTGAAAATTTTTTGCTGCTTGCAAAAACTTTTGACCAATCGATAAGAAATTTATTTAACTTAATTACACTTTATTAAAAAATTGCCGTGAGATTTTTATATAATCTTTTACTGCTTTAAATATTGCTTTGTCACCAAGAAGTTGGATTGTTTGAAAAAAGATTAACTTAATATAATTTTATAAATTTATTTTTTTGCATTTTAGCCAAAGTTATTGTTGTTGGAAAATTTTAGTAAATCGTGTTTCATACACATGATACACAAAGAAATTAAAAAAAAAAAATACCTGTGCGCAACGTTGTGTGAACATTGTTTTATAAATCCAAACTTTTAGTAAGTTATGTCATTCGGGAGCTGCCAGATCACAAATCTTTTTCTGCTGCCATTTTTTGACAATTGTGAGTTGTGATTTGTCATTTAAAATGCAGAGCTATCATTTATGGAATGAGCAGGCAAACAGGTGTATGATTGTATGAATGAAAATATAAATGCCTTCAAAAATAATTTGATGCAACTTTACTTGAATAAGTATAAATAATTACGTTGAGAATTTAAGTTGAGAGTTTAATGAAAGAAAAATAATAATAAACAAATATATAAAGTTCAAAAAGGAGTTTACTTTACCTGAGCCGTAAAAGGAAAGCAGTACAAGCTAGGCTATGTCTAAGCTAACATAGACAAGCATAAAACAAACAGCGAAAAAATGCTGACGACATGAACAGGTCTGTAATGATGGCAAAAATATTAATAACCAACAATATGAATTTCAGGACTGTTTATTTAGTATGTACCAACGACGGTATTGGACCATTCGACCATTGCATCTTATAGTAAATGAATTGGAGAATTGGCTGGAACCGGTTTTTTTAATCGAGCAAACTACCGAAAAATTATAGCGTTTTAAAAATCACGATTTTACATATGGCGAGATAGGACGAAAATTTCATTCAACGCATTTTGACGGTGGCGCCATCCGGCGGTTCTCTTTCAACCAGCGGGTTTCTCTTCTCTGTCATTATCTCTAGTCATGAGAAATTAAACGAATTGAATTCAAAGTGAAAAATATAATATCAGAGAAATAAAATACGAGATTTTCTGCCCAATAAGTCGATCATATGGATTAAAAACAAACATCGACCTCTAGAAAATTAGAAATCACCAATTTTATACACATTTGTCATCTGATTTATAGAAATTTTCTCTCTGCTGATCAACTTTGAGAAACATAATAGTAGGATTTTGCTTAAAGCATCATTTAAAGCTTCTGACTTAAAACATACTTAAAAAGATTACAAATTGGCACAAGTAATGCAATTTTGAGCCTTCGAGGCATATGGATTATAGGCTTATGTCGCCTATGTTTGATTTTCACTTTGCGCTTGATTTTCTGGTCGATGGGTATTTGTCTTAAATGTTTTTATATTAGTAGTAGAACATTTACCATTGTAGTTGCTTTTCTTTGCAATTGTTTAATAATCAAAGCTTATACATAAAATGAATAAAATATTATAATCAAAATTTAAAGAGATGGACTTGTAGAAGGCAAAAAAAATATTACATAAGAACATTCAACCTTTCAAAGGAAATTTTTTATGTAGAAAGAGTAGTGGCAGGGGAAACCGCAGAAAATGCGCCCCAATAAATGAAGAAAAATTCAGACTGGAATTAACTTTTGAAGCGAGCTGATTTTATTACTCCTGATCGTGACATTATAACTTCTTTAATTTAAAAAGACAGTGTATATGTTTATAAGATGTTGCAACAGAAAACAAGCAAAAAACTTTGTTCTTGTTCATAATATTTTGTCACTTAAATTATAGAACTATTTAAATTGCATGTTTTTAATTTTTGCTTGATTTAAATTCCGTACCATATTTTCCGCATATATTTTTTAAAGCAGTCAGCAAATTCCGGGTGACGTCACACTCAGTATCTCCGCGGAATAGAAGCGTCTGCTTCTTTTTTCTGCTCTCTGACAGTGCGATTCCACAGGCCACCTCTACCAATTGCGACGTCATGGTTATTCACGGCTTCCGGTGGCCATTGGGCTGCTAGTAGAACCAAAACTCCTGCGAGGAGAAGATAACAAAAGTGTCTATGTATTATTGGCTGAACATAAAAATATCAAAATGTAATTTTAATCCATAAGAAAGGAAACGATACTGAAAAAAATAGCATGGCGTGATTTATTTTTCGAACAATTGGACGATTATTTTAGGGAATATTTTTACTAAAAATTAGGCATAAAATAAATTTATAAGTAAGCGTTTTCATCAAATGCTCATCTTTACTCAAAATTCTTTTAAGTAAATTTCTTTATCAAATATTTTAATTTTTTATTTAGACGATTATTGTTGGCAATATTTTTACAGAAAATAAGTGGTTAAATTAATTTTTTAAATAAGTGTTTTCATCAAATAAGCATATTTTTCTCAAAAATTCTTTATAGTTAAATTTCTTTCACTTTTTATAAGCACATTATTATTCTCTTTAATTTTGACAATATAGTTTTGGAAATATTTCTAAAAATTTATTTTATAACAATTAAAGTAGGAAAAGTGTCAGAATAGAGAAATAATGTGTCGTGTGTTTTGAGCGTACCCTTCTCGTTGAAGGTCGTTCGAGAGACATCGAGACATCTATCATAGTAATTTTTCGCTTTATTTTTCACGGAAACGCTCAAAACACACTATTCTAACCAAAATAATTAAAAATAACAATTAAATTTGTATAAATATTTTTCACAGAAGTTGTCAAATTTGGAATAAATTTTTTGATGTAAAAAATGTAATTAAAAAATAATTTTTGAGAAAAAAAATTTATGATTTGCTGATAACTCTCGTTAAATATTATTTTTATTAATTTTAGTAAAAATAGTTTCACAGCGTTATGAATTGTGGCTTCCGACTTTAAATTCAATTCACCCATGTGATCGTGAAATTCTACTACAAATTAAAATAAAAATAATAATTACTTAAAAATAATTAGTAAATTGTATAATAATGCCAATGTCTTTGGAAATTTAATTAAAGAGCAAAGAGTGGAGCGTTTCACGAGCGCACGCACCGCGAGATAAATTTTTTTTTTCAAATTAGAGAACTTTTCCTTAAATAGAAGTTGATTAAGTGGATTAAATCTCTTGTTGATATTATTAATTTAGGGCGGGGTATGTGAATTTAGAAAGAATTATGAGCCCCAAAATTTTAATAATCTGTTTAATTAATTTGTAATGATAATTATTTTTTATCAATTGATATATTTCTTTCCATTTTTTAATAACTTATTACTTTTTTTAATGAATTATAAAATTAAATGTATATTTTATTTTCTCTTTTTTTTTTAATATTATTCATTTTATTAAAAAAAAGCTGAATTAATAATTTTTTTTTCTAAAATTTATTAGACTAATATTTTTTTAATAAATTTTTAGGATACGGATTTTTTTTTATAATTTGCAATATTATTATTGTGTTGGGAAAAGTGGCTGATAATTTTTTTGGTAAAAATATTCTCAATTATATATAATTTTTATTACAACTCTCAATAAATCCTTAAACGACTAAACGTTCTTATGTATAATTATGCATCTCAAATCATTTTGTGAACGAAAAAAAGTTTGGTAATATATATACGCAACAATTTCAATATCTTGGATGTTACATCCCATGGTCTAATGGTAAAAGCTTTGTTTCAGATGCAGAAGGTTCCAGGATCGAATCCACTAACAGACAGACTTTTCACTGGATATGCAATGGCCACGTCATCATATGATAGATCATGATGAAGATACTAACACCGCGAAAAATTAAAAATTATTTTTCTTTTGCGTTTTTTAAAACATTTTTTGGCTTCTTTTTTATTGAAAAGCAAACTTGTTAAAAAGAGGTAAATATCTGGTAACTTGTAAAAAAATACCACTTTTTAACCAGTCATGAAACCCGTGTTAAACTGGTTGTCAGAAAACTAGTTATCTTGTTTTCAAAACACAAGTTTTACTCGTCTTTTTCACGAGTCAGTTCTTGCAGGGGCGCTAATCACCCAATAAAGATCACCTCCTCCAATAAATCTAGCTTCTTAATCTAGCTCATTCTTGTATTAATCAGCGAGCAGCGTGTTTGCTCATGAAATATAATAGTTGAACCCAAACAAAATAATAATTATAATAAAATAGGTGGTGCCTTCTAAAACACTAATAAAGGGCGCAGGCCGAAAAGACTGTCTTGGTCCGACGCACGACCCTAAAAGAAATAAATAAAGGTTGGTACTTGAATTTTAGTTTTAAGATTTTAATTTTAATGTTAAAATGTGGTGTGTGTGTGTGTGTTTTTTTTTTCAATTTTGCTGATTTTTTGTACTTATCTTGCTCATGAAATATTAGGGTCGCAGACCGTGACCGTAACTGGGAAGAGCGGTTTTGTTTTTGAATAAAAACAATTTTTACAATGAGGAATAGCCAGACTTCTTCATTCCCATGTGTTTATCTCCTTGAGTGTCAAATTCTTCAAACAAAATTGAAACTAAAATTTGGGTATATTTTAGATTTCAACCAACAATAAATAACGTTTTACGTACGTACGCATGTGTTTATAATAAAGACAATGATGGGCGATCCAAAAGGCTAACTTGGCCCAGGCTAAATTAACCTGGCCCGGGTTAATTTAACCCGCCATTCAATTTTGGTGATGGACTAAGTTTAAGTTAGCCTAGGCTAGGTTAGGTTAGCCTGATTCAGGTTAGGCTTTTGGATCGCCCTCAATATTAATAATCATCTTACGGAGCATTTCCAAGTGATATTGAGGGGGCATTGGACAAAAAATTACCTTATCTTATTTTAACATAAATCAAATTGGGTGTCTAGAGGGGCCTCCTCCCTCACCAATTTCGAGACCTCAAAAAAAGGGGCGTTGCCCAAAATTTTAGGGGTTTTTCATTATTTAACCTGTATTTTCTCGAAAACGGAAAAATGGCCATTCTGAAAATTACAGGGCCGACGTAAAATTTCACGGACTAAATTTTTTCCAATACCACCAAAAAAAATCGGAGGGGGCTATCATCGCCAAAATTTGACTTTTACCAAAAAACCTCCGAAAAGTGACATTTCCCTCAAGCCTACTACTTTTATGTAAATAGCAAAGATGTTAAGCGTAAAAAGTTAGGCCAGGAACAGTTTAAATTATTGTTCTAACCCAAACCGTTCCAAAGTAATGGAAAATCGAAAAAATCTCGGGTCATTTTTAAACCCCCAAAATTTTGGGCAGCGCCCCTTTTTCTAGGTTTCAAAATTAGCGAGGCAAGACACCTCTAGACAGACACCTACTTTGACATATCGTCGGCTACGCGGCCAAATGGCCGATCTGGTAATTACCCCTGTGGGGAAAATGGCTAGTAGCCACTTTCCCCGTTGGGGAAAATGGCAGATGGGCCTTTTTTCAAATTTTACAGGAGAAGCAAAAAACTGATTATCTGCTCCAATTTTCAATGTTCAGATTTCAAAATTTGAACCAAAGTTCAGCATGTTATTGCAGATAATTTGGTAGACTTAATTTTCTTTTAAGCCTTAATATACAACTGTTGTAAGAAATTTAAAGGGACGTAACTCCATACTGAAAGAGTAAAACGTGCAATACAATCGAAATTAAACCACTTATGCGATTATTTCCTCCTTTTCTTTGTTCAATTTAACTTAAAAATAATATTTTATAATATAATTTTATTTTAATTCATCTTTTTTTATTAAATTTTTATTATTTTATTTTATTTAAATTAATTTAAATTTTATTCTTTTATTTGCACAATAGTAAACAATTTTGGCATTAAAAGCATTATTTTTTTTATTTCACATGACCCGGCGTCACTTCTAGTTATAATCTCATGAATAGTTTTACTGATATTTACTATAAATTGCAATAATTAGTAAAGTAAAATCTAGCTCGGATGCAACATAAAGCTTCTGGTTGCATGTCAAATATTTTAATAAAAAAATCTATATTTTACTATTTATTTAATTTTAAAATTATATCTATTTTAAAGAATTATTTGCATTATCACGCAAAATGCATGAAAAAGCTGTCACTTTGGAATACAATATTGACGAAACTACAGCTTATTCTGATATTTTACTTCTTACTTAATGTTAGGTATTTTATTAAATTTATTAAAATTTTATTTTTTTATTTTTTACATTTTCGATATTTTCATTATTTTTAACATTTATTGCATTTAAAACAATTTTGGCATTATTCAGCAAGCGGGAATGCTGCCTGCTTGCCTGTAAGGGGGCGTGGCACTGCCTTACTTTTGCTCCCTGAACTCGCGATAATGAGACATCTACCGAGAAAGTTGATACTTTTATGGTTATTTCTGATGCAGATTTTTACACTGAATGCATTGGAACAATAAAAAAAATTTGTCCGGAAATGCTCATCTGCCATTTTCCCCAACGGGGAAAGTGGCTACTAGCCATTTTCCCCACAGGGGTAATTACCAGATCGGCCATTTGGCCGCGTAGCCGACGATATGTTAAAATAAGGTAATTTTTTGTCCAATGCCCCCTCAATCTCACTCGGAAATGCTCTTACAGAGGCGGCGTAGATTCACGTTTTAGGGTCCCTGGAAATTAATAATTTTGGGCTCCCCCACCAATATTTTTATTTATTCATTTTAATAGCTTTTTTCTGTTTTTGAAGACCACTTTAAAAACGTATGAACTTAATACAATTTTGTGAGCGAAGCGAGAGCGAAATTTAAATATTTTTTTTCAAGCAAATTTATAGCAATCATCAATTCATGTGTGAGGGGGTAAAAAAATCGTTCACAGGAAGTAGCCCAGAAATGATCAGAATGGTCTGTTGGGATTTTTAAATAGTGTGCCCCGGGCCCCAATAGGACCCTCGATCAGTCCAAGTTTGAATGTTTTTTTTTATTGCCATTATGAAAATGATTGCGAGAGGAGCGAGAATATTTCAATTTTTTTTGTCACACACTGAAATATCATTCATACTTGGGCCAAAGGGCCCCTTTGGGACCCAGGGCCCCTGGAATTTCCAGCCAGCCCAGCCATGCATAATCTACACCTCTGCTTAACATATTAAGCTTACATATGAAATTTTTAAATCAAATTAAAGAAGTTTGTTTATACTGTATATGTATGTACAGAACTTCAGGAAAATTCGTTCCTATTATTCCTGTATCCAAAAGTAATTATTGATGAAAATGAAATTGCATTTGGTATAAAATTCGCAATTATTTACCTTGGAAAAATGTTTGGTAAAAGTAAAAATAAACGGAGACAACATAAAAATATTTTTAAAAATAGCTTTAATTATCATAATAATATTGAGAGCGATCCGCCAAAAGCCTAACCTGGTTAAGGCTAACTTAGCCCATCAGCAAAATTGAATGGCGGGTGAAATTAACCCGGATCAGGTTAATTCAGCCTGGGCCAAGTTAGCCTTTTGGATCGCCCTCATTAATTTTCGTCTCTTGAATCCGTTTCTAAATTATTTGGTAAGAAGTGCATTATTTACAGAAAAACTTTTCAGGGCTAGATCAAAATCTTCATTGAACTCACCACACGCCAAACCTTTTTAGAACTTCAGGTATCAAGTTCCTTTGCTATGTATCAGCTTTGGTCCATGGTCACTCTGTTAAATTTTTCGAATCAAAATCAGTAATGAATGTGACAGGCAAAGTCTGATCCCTCGCTTTTAAGGAGAGTTAAATCTTATCATTCGTATCTTAAATGCAAAAGATCAAAGTGTAACAGCGCCTATTTCATTATACAGTAGGTAATAAAGATAACAACTGTACGTAGATAAAAATTTGGCAATAGATTCCACGCTATTGACATACATATATTGTAAATTCCTTGTAAAAGCTATTTGTGTGAGTCGCACCGTCATTGCCACTAAAGAGTCGCCGTTATTTGTCCTAAAATCATTTGACCTAAAACTGAATTCGTCATTTATCCTAAAATCAAAGGTCCTAAAATAAATTGTCCTAAATTTTTCATTCCATTTGTCCTAAATTTCGTGTCCTAAAAATAAGTGTCCTAAAAATTTGAAAATCTTAAAAGGTTTTATTGCTGGAAAAATTCAATCTATGCTCTGCAAAGAAAGGCAAAGGAGAGATAAATTGGATTGTTCGTTAACAGGGAGAAAATTCCAATAAATTTCTGATTCATAAAAATGAAAAAAAAAATTAGAATCAATAAACTTGAATAAAATTAAAATCTTTGGAATTTAAAATTATTGTTTCTATTCATAATTTTTATTTTATCTTTCTGAATAATCATTTGTTGGCTAAACCAATGAAAATATATTATAGAAAAGCTCTTTTTATCAATTTAACAAAAAATGTAATTATTTTCAAACAACTACTATGTACGATTGAAATATAGGAATAAAATGTGATCTTAATTTTTTTTTTTTAGATTTTTCAACATTAAAATAACTTTCATTTTCTACTTCAAAATATTTTTGCTGAATATGAGAAATAAATTATAAGTTGATTACTTTCAACTTTCAACGCTCTTTATTAATCCGGCTACATTGAAATCTTATATTAAAAGGAAGACCGAAAATAGTGTGTGGGCTTGTTCACTGACAATAAGTCACGTGCAGCGCCAATAGTTGCAGTTTGCATCCAGTGCCATCTTACAAGATTTAGGACAAATAAATTTTCGGACAAATGCATTTAGGAGAAATGAAAAACAATTTTAGGACAAAAATATTAGGATAAATTTTTTTAGGACAAATGAGTTTTTGAACATTTAAGCCATTAATTTGGTCAAGAGCTTGATAGTACCTCATTTTGATTATTGTGACATTGTTTTTTTGCAACTTGACATCTGCTCAGTTAAAAAAATTGCAAGTGTTGCAGAACCATTTAAGACGCTATATATATGATGTAAGAATAGGCAAAAATTTATCTCCGTTATAATTTCCCGAAAATTTCCCTAAATTAACACTTTTAAACCACCCCAACTTGTGCTATCGTTAAAAAAGAACTACTCTCAGCTGGCTGAAATTCATTCCTGCTGAAGCTTTTGTCAAGGGTGCTTGTACAAGGAAATCACATTTTATTAAAAAATTATTAAAAAAATTAAAACAAAAATAATAATAATAATAATAATAAATTGAAAATTATTTAAAAAGAAATTAATACCTGATGAAGTTCATAATCTGTAAAGATCTCTTTCCTGGTAATGTTCTAAATCCACTGTGATAATGTTTCAAGGTTTTATCACTAAAAATAGCGCAAAAGTTGGCAGCTCTTAAAAAAAAATGCTTTTGGACCAAGTTGTTAGACCGAACGCGCTGAGAGTAGGAGATTTCATTGTGGATTGCGTTTGGTCCAGACTGAATGCATTTGGGCCAAGCGGCGTTAGACCGAATGCATTCCGACCAAAGCGCTCTTAGACCGAATGCATTCAGTCAACTCAGCGCGTTCGGACAACAACATATACAAAATGTGAAATTATAAAAATTGCTGATAGACATCAATTAAAAATTTTGGTGCAAACGCATACAATTAATACAATTATGTATAAAAATTGCCCGGAATACTTAAATTATTTTGTAACAACTATATATGAATGATGTTAATTTGTTAGGGCGTACTAGAAAGCACCTTATGAAACTGCTCGCACCCCATTTTTAAGTGTTGCCTGAAAACTGCTTGCAAGTGGAATTTGTTAACACCGAAATTGTGCCTGAATGAAAATGTAAATTTTTTTAAGGCAACGCTGACAAAGCAATTCATTGAGAAATATTAATGTTATCTTTCTCTCTTATTTTAAAAATGTTATTTTGTCATTCATTTGGATGAGTTCATGTATGGGGCAAAGTTTCCCTCAGTTTGAACCCAATAAACAAACTTCTGAAACTATAGCCTAACTTGGCCTAGGATATATTATTATACGTACGTTTGCCCAATAGCCAACTTTAATGGTGCTAGGCTTACCATAAAAAAAGTCTGGGCTATATATTGGCTAATCATTTTTCAAACCTTCGTTATATCCTCGTGTAATCAAGCACATAATATTTAAAAACGATTGCAGCCCAAAAGACCAAAGATATACTTGGCAACGTTGGCACGTGCGTCAAATTTGCTCTAATTCAATTCTGGTTTTTGCCTGGAAGGCAGAGATAAAGAAAAGTGCCTCGCTTGAACTCTGCACGAATTTAAGTGCTTAAGAGAGATAAGAACTTTTGATAAAATCGCCAATTTTTACCTATACACAAAATCCCGAATGATGAATGATACCATATAGTTCTAAAGAAAATCAAACAATCTAAAATTTCCCAAGATGCCGTTAGGACCACAGCAACCTTTTATTATTTTATTGCTTTTTATTGTATCGGAGAAGATTTTTAAATTATCAGCCATTTTATAGTTTGATTATTTATTTATTTAAAAAATAACCATACGCTCAGTATAAAAAGCAAGCAACGCCGCCAACGCCACAACAAGAACTTCAATTGCTTTTATTTTTGGCCAATCATTGTCTAGCATTAAGAATAAAACTTTTAGTCTCATTTTTATTGTTAAAAAGTGTTCTCAATTAAGATCATAAGATCCTTTAAGTCAAATAAAAACCTAAGGTAGAAATTTATGAAGAAGGATCGAAAACAAATAAAAATGTCTCGTCGTCTGTCGTTTTTATTTTTACTCATGCTCCAATAATAAATGAAGAGAATATTGAGCCAGCTTTTTTTCTTTAGTCCTTTCTTTCACGGTTTCTCCTCAAATACTTTGGGCAGACGCAGTTTTAATAATTGATTTAGGGTCACGTCCACGTATCTTGCTACAAAACATACCTCTTATTGGCAAAAAAGAATATTCGTATTCGAAATTTCCAAAAAAATAAAATGAATTCTAACAAATATTGTCGTATAATGAAGTTAGAAAATATCAAAATTCTTTACGCTACGTATAAAAAGTCCATCACATTTTTTTTACGTTGGAAATTGTATCTTGTCAACTGTGATGGTTTTATTTTGTTATTACCAGTTATTACATTGAAACAGTGAATGTTATATAAAATTGTATCCAGCTTAGCCTAGCAAAATAGCATCACTTGCAAATGAGATCTCTAAAATATTTTAAATCGTGGCCACATGCTGACTTGATAAACCAACAAACAGCACATTAAAAATTATTTATGGTTTCAATAAGCGTGAGGTCCCCGCCTGCCGCTGCAGTTAATAATATGATAAATCTAGATTTCATTTCAACATGCATCTTATGAATGGATTCGGAATGAAAAAAAAAAACACATAATGCTAACACCTCCGAGGGGGATAAAAAGTGCAGCGCGTTTTGTTGTCGGCATGTTATTGTTGTTGTTGATGCTGGGTGTGTATTTGGGGGCGCGCGAAAATGGGAAAAAGAGACCGCTTGGCTATTTTCACATACAGTGAAAAGCCCCGTGTATATCACAAAATGCCAGAAAGGGAAAAGCGGCGGCTAACAGATGTCCCACACCGCCCCAAACTGTCGTTTTCGGTGCATGAGGTCGAAATCTTTAGAAATTTATCAAATGTGAGAGCGCATTTTATTTCCATTCGCGATCAAAAGCGGGGTGAATAAGAAAAAAGATGCAGCCCGTCTCGCCGCGAATATCTTTCCGTTTCCTTGCCCACGGACTGAGAAAGAAGGAATCTGTGAAATATGTTCTGGGAGTTGGTTTTTGCCGCGAGAATAAAAAGTCGGGAAAAATATATGAGAAATAAAACGTGAAAAGGAACGGAGAGAATAATATTTGTGCTAAGAATTATTTGATTTTTTTCTTCCTCAAGTCGCGTTTAAGAAAGACGCCAAAAACTTGTCTGCAGGTTTGTGCTGCGCGGGGATGACAGAAATTTTTAAACATTGTCGTGTGAGACGAATACTGATTGTGAGGGCAAATCTCATTCAATAACGAGTGTGGTGCTCGCAAATGGAGCTGTTTTTCTGCTTGCCTCCTTACAAGCACGTAAATATTTCAAAAGTCACTATGGAGATGGAAATAAAAGGCGACTTCCGCTTTTTCTCAGCATGGCGAATTTTGATAAAACTTTGGCAAAATAAATACTTAAGGGGCAATTTGATTATAATGTGTTGGAGTCTGGATAACTTCTTTTCATAGCGAAAATAGCGAGGATCGTGTTTAAACATTTTTAATAATTTAAATAACAAAAGGAATAACTGGTAAGACATTTTATTATATCTAGTAACCATGACTAGTAACTTAATGACATGATTGATCAAAAATAAGATTGATGAAAAACGGGTTTTTAGTGGTGTTAATTAATAAGTTTGAGACTTAACCTTGGATAGTAAAAGGCATTGAAATCATTTATTAAACTTTTGCAAATTAATTACAAAAGAGTATTAAATAAATAGAGATTCAAATAGGATTTTTTTTAAAGTTATACACATTTTTTGCATGGAGAAAATTTTATAGTGTGAAAGGTATTTAAACCAACTAACTCCCCCCCCCCTCCCCTAAAGAATTCTGTTCAATTAATTAATGAATGAATACAATTCATAATGTATCTAATTAATATTTTGACTTCTAGTGAATATCATTAAATCGGTATAAATTTTTAGAAAAGATGGGAGAGAGTGAAGATAACGGTTTCGTATTTCACAGAAAGTGAATTTCTTCTTAATTGGACCTTGGAGCAAACAAATTTATATTGAAATTTGTTAA